GAGGTACTTATTCTTAATAAAATTTTAAGCAATTACAAAAAAATATAAAAAAATATATTCTAGCGGGCATATTTGGCTGCTGGACGGTTTAAGGGATAAGAAATAAATTAATTAATGCTGTATCTATAAGCCAAAAAAAAAATGGCATCTATATTCTACGAACTATTAATTGAGTTGAATAATAGCTTCGTAACTGATCAGCTATATCAACTCCTCCTATATATAAATTATAGTCATCTATAACTTTTGGTATAAGTAGTTTTCTTCGTGGTGAATTTCCAAATATAGTTTTTAATCTTTGATTATTAATAATTGTTTCTCTTAGTCTTTTACAATCTTTTTTAATTTTATTATTATTTTCTTCAATTATATAAATTGTAGTAATTATAATTACAGGTCCATTATCAACCCATAATAATGCTAAAACATTATTAACTGATATGCCGTTTAAATAATCTCAAGGTAAATTTTATTTTATTTTTTTTTAAAATAGTTAAAAAATTTGTAATATGAGAATAGACAGTATCGCATGCACCATATCCTTTTTGACAAAGAAAACTAAATAAATTAATACTTAAAAAATAATTGTCCATATAAATATTAAATGCTTTTTTAGATAGAAGTTGTTTTACAAGATGATATACATTTGCATCAGTTTTGTTGATATTAGGAAGCTGTATAATATTAGAAGATTCAGTTCTTGAAATAAATATAAAAAAATAAGTATAATTAGATTCATATAAAGATAAAATTTTATATTCTTCTGGAATTGGTTTATTTTTAAACTGAAATGTATGTGAACTTCTTGCTATAAAATGTACAACCATTTCATCTACAGATATATTAGAAGCTGAAGTATATAATTTTTGTGAAACATTTTGTATATAAGAGCCTAATAGTTTGAGTTTAGTAAATATTGATTTCTTATCAATATTTTTATCTGTATAATCTGATAAGTAAATATATCTTATAATATATTAATTTAAAAAAAAATTTTAATATTTTTTATAAAATTAATGATCAAATATAGTATACTAGGAATTGGGAACCGATATAAGTTTGGAGCATTACTGTATTTAGTAATATCCCTGACTGTACCAGTAATCAATTGTTGTTTTCAAAATAGTTTTGTAATCACGCATCATGCGGCGAGACAGACAAAAAATTTTGAAGTTACGTTATTGATATATTAATTATAATAATTATGTTAATGCATTAAAAAGAAATGTTTGATGGTTGAAACACATCAAAAATGTAACCTTTGTATTACTTAATGTGTAGAAATTGAGTGTCTGTCGTTACGTTCTAGACAATTATTTATAATACTATAATACTTATCTGTTAAAAACAAAATAATGTCATAAATTTGGTTATTGTATATAATGGATAAATTGGTTCTTGATTCTAATAATCTTGAATAGCAGAAAATTTAAAAATTCTTATATATATTACTAAAGCTAACCAAATTTTAAATTCTGAAACTATTAATGGATTCTATTTACAGCCTATATTTTTTATTTTTTGCAATTTTTAAATTTGCATAAATATTAGTATTTTGTATAATACTATTAATTAATTTAGTAGAGAAAAATTTGGAAAAAATATAAAAAATTGATGAATCATAAACAAGACAGGATACAACTATTAATTTGACTAAAGAAATAATCAATAATACTAAAAAATTAAAAGTATCAGACAATTTTAAATTACTAATAGATCGATTTATTGGAAATGATCATTTATCAGAATATAGAAAAACTGAGATGCATGTTTGTGGTGTCATTATATACAAAAAAAAATAATAAGATAGCTTTAAAAATCCACCACAATCACAAATATGATGTAGTAAATATAATATTTCTTTATATTAGGGTAGTGACAGATATTACGTAATATTTTTTTACTATACCCTCTACCTCCCTCCCCCCACGTAAGAGAAATTTGATTGGCTATTATAACTTTATATATCAACGTAAGATATCAAAGACCTTCCTCCTCCTCAAAATATTACGTAATATCTGTCACTACTCTTATAATAAGCAACATTCATGTTTTAAAGATTTTCATATATTAGAAAATTAATTTATTTTTAATTTAATTATATTATATTATTATAAAAATTTAGTATATTAAAAGATTTTCATATATTAGAAAATTAATTTATTTTTAATTTAATTATATTATATTATTATAAAAATTTAGTCATTCTATATATAACATCAACTCTTTCTGCTGATCTGCAATTTTTAATCAGTCAAAACCAAAATTAACAATTATTTCCAAATCTAGTATAAGAAATAAGGTATCTTATATTAAGAGAAAAAAAATAGTATCTAAAATAACATGCAGTTTATTAGGATAGGCTTTCACTCAAGACCTTTAGTTTAGTAACAACAAATTTTTTAGAAATTTTTAGAAAATTTTTAAAAAATTTAAAGAAATTTGCCTAGACCCTGAAAATCTGATCTTAAAATATATAAATAACAAAAAACAACAAATATGTAAAATCAGAAAAATAAACAAACAAATAAGCAGCAGATCATGTTACTATTTTTAGAATTAATGGAAAAACAGCAAGTAAACAGAAAACACATGTGCTATTATTAAGAGCTAAAAGATATTTATAGAAAATACACTAGAATTTAATACAACAAACGTAGAATTTAAATCAACCTATAAAGATATTTGTACAAGAATTTAGATATACTAAAATATGACAACTCTAAAAAGAATTAAGGGTGTATTTTCAAAGCTAGCAGAGGAAAGACAAGAAATATATAAATCACAGGTGAGATTTACTATTCAAACAGATAGATACATAGCAAATTATCTGGGAGTAGAGAATTCAGAATATATATTATTTATTTGTATAGCATTAAAAAACTACAAAACAGCATTCCAAAGGTTTTTAAAAAGCAACAAATTAAACTTAGAAGATCAAGAACTAATAGGAATAGATCTAAAAACCAATATAATTGAGTTTAGAAATTTGATTACAAAAAGGCCACAAGAAGAAGAAACCAAAAATATAACAACTATTGCCAAGACTGAAAAAATGATTTTATCTTTCATCTAAATAAAGATGAAGATTGAAAAACCTATCACGCAATTAATTCTCAATGAGCCAACACAAAAAAGAAAACATATAGATCTTGATGAAAATAGAGAAGAAAATAAAGAAGGTCTGAAGCTTAAGCGTCAAAATAATAATTCAAACAAAGTTGCAGAAGCAATATTGAATGAATCAGAGAAAGAAATTCTCAAAAGCTTTGATGACGAAAAGGTAGAAGATGAAATAATTCTACTATATACAGAATATGGATCACATGATTAAGGAACAAAAGAAACCAAAAACCTGTATTATTAAGACATGATAAAAGGTCAGTTGTAGTCTTCTCTAAAAAAAAGAAGAAGAAAGAAGATAATATCATTCATGAAGATATACATAGATCCAGGTGGACTTCTAAAAATATCAGTAATTCAATTTGGCTTCAAAAAATAGATCGAAGGAGGACCTACAGAAAAAAGAAGTGCTTCAAAGCTCTACTAAAACAGAAGAGACCTAAAACTCAAAACCTGAATATAAATTAACCTTATGGGACTTACCAAAAGATACTTGGTCTAACAGAGTAAAGAGATGTCTTAGTTTCTATAGCAAAGCAAAAATTCTAGAATAGAAAAAAGATCAACAAGAAGTTAAGAAGTCGAAAGCAGCCTATATACAAGTTATATGCTAGAATCAAAAAAGATTTAAAGCACTACAAGAAAGTTGGATAGTTTATTTTGGGAAGGTAAGTATATGCAGAATAACCCCAGATTACTTTGATAAAGCTTAACTTATTAATAAAAAAAAGTATGCAGCAAGACTACAAGATCTTTCATGTAATATTCTTGAGTCCTCTTTACTTAGACAACTCAAATCAAGCAAAGCCAAAGCAGTATATATTTCAAGTAATAGTAAAGGAAATAGAAGAAGTATTGCTCTAATATACTTTAATAATAAAAAAAACTATCTAAAAGCACAGGAAAGACAAATATACTACTACAACAAGAAACTTACTTGGATGGACCACAAGGAAAAAAAAGAGAAAAAACCAACCTACACAGAAGTTGTGACAAGAAAGGTAGAAGAGAAGTCCTATAATAGAGAAACTTTATACAAAGAAAAGGTAGAACAAAGAAAAGACAAAGGAAACAGACCTTAATTGAAGAAGAAAAAAAAAAAGAGAAAAAGCAAACAGAAGAATGCCTTTAGATTAACAAAGAACTGGAAAGAAAATTTATTAAAAGCTTACAAACAGAAGAGAAAAAAGAGAGAGAATTGGACTTAGCAAGCAGAATCAACCAACATCAAAGTATGCTTCAAGAAATTCTTAACAGACTTGATCAATTAAGCAAACAGCAGGCTATGCTTGCTAATCACTTCTAAAAGACACCTTAATTAATTTAAAGAAAATAATGGTAGAGGTAACCTCCTTTCCATTATCAAATAATACAGCAAGTTCACATTTTATTAAAAATATCTCAAGAAACCGTCAAATAACTAATAAAGAAAAGAGCAAAGCTAAATATAATCAGATAGAAAATAATGTAAACAATTCTAAGGAACCAAAAATAATCATTAGAAACAAAGATAGTCAAGTAGAATTGGAGATTGCTTGCCATAATATAAATGGATTGCAAAACAACAGACAAAAACTAGAAGCACTATATGAATAAATAGCAGATAACAATATAGACATTCTAGAGATAGCAGAAACAAACATCTCTAGCAAAGAAGGTGTTTTTGCAATATTGAAGTTTGAGAATTTTAAAAGCTTCTAGTCAAATGCAAACCCAAATAAGAAAAAAGGCTCAGGAGTGGGTTTACGATAAGCAATCAATAGGAAAAGCACTTGGGGTAAATTGAAAGAAGAAACAAATATCTAATAATAGCTAGCTTTATATTTAAACAACTTGAGATAATTGTAATAATAGTTTATTTGCCTTCTAATAATAAGGAAAAAAGAAGAATAATTCAAAGAGAGATCTTAGAAAGATATATTAATCGATCTAAAAAAGCTTAAATAATAGTTATGGGTGATTTTAATTATATTTTGGATCCTTATCGAGACAAATTGTATAGTAATGAATATGAGCTATTTAAGGTCGATCCATTCATCAAATGGTTGTAAAGGCAAGATTTTGAAGACTTCTTTAGACTAATAAATCCAAGATACAAGAAGTTTTTCTGACAAATGGAGAACAAAGCACAAGAATTAACCAGATTTAGATAACAGATGATTTAATTAGCGGACTGTATAAAGCAGATATTCAAGATATGAACATCTTCACTAGCAGTAACTATAGAGCATACTTGCAAAAATAGAACTAAGATATTTAATATCTTCAGTCAGCTATGCAGAACTCAAAAGAGAAAATTTTAGTAAATCTGTTTTTCTATATGATGAGGCAACGAAAAAAAACTGTGATAATTATAAAGCAGAAGTAGAAAGAATTCTTAAAAACAAGGAAAATCCAATACAAAACCTGTTAAACTTTAATCATTCCTCGGAAGAAAAAACTCAGAATTTGCTAGACAAAGTATGAGATTTAATTAGCAAAAGCATATTAGTAGTAGCTCAAAAAATGCTTTCTAAAAAGGAAATCCAAAATGTACTAGCAACTAAATTAAAATGAGAAAAAAAATCCAGGCTATCACAACTTACAGTCTATTTGGGTAAATAGATAAGCTTGAATAGAAAAAATCTCAAACTACGATTTATAACCGAGGATATACAAGAGTTTAATGAACAGATCAAGTACATCAATTCCTGTTGTAGAACTTATATAGAGGAAATCCAAAATTGTTGGACACAAGAAATTATTGATGACCTAAAGGGTTGGTGAAAAATTCTTAATAAAAGAAGAATGAAAAAACTTGAGAGGATTAGAAGAGATGAAATAAATAAAAATATTGAATGAAGGTGTCAAATGATAGATAAACAATAAGGAAAGATGTTAACAAGCCTACTTGATAAGCCAATTAGAAAAATCAATATAAACAGACTACTTGAAAAGAATGACCTTACAAGAAGACTGATTACCAATCTAAAAGAAGTATTAAAGAGTACAAGTAAATATTTCCAAAATCAATTCAGAGCAAGAAACTTTCAAAAAGAGTTAATAGATAAAGAATGTGCTAAAGAATACAGTTCTATAAAAGAAATAGAAGAGTTCTGCTATTATGGTTTGAATGAAAACATCACAGAAATAGAATGGTCTGAGATGCTAATAGACCTAAAAAAGAACACAGCACCAAGTATCTCAGGTATAACATATACACTAATTAAAGCAGCAAGTGAATGAGTACAAGAGGTCTTCAGAGATATTGCAAGCATATATATAAAAACAAGAATGGTTCTGAAAAAGTGGAAATTGTCTCAGATATATTCAATTCTAAAAGAAGAAGACTGGCACTACAATTTAAATAATGTCAGACCAATTGTATTATTAGAAATATTCTGCAAGTATATGACTAAAGTGCTTACCAAAAAACTTGCTAAAGTCTTCTTAGAGAAGAATATATTAAAAGGTATAAACTTTGCCAGTCTCTCAGATAATTTTACAGAAAAGCCAGTGCATATTTTAAATGCAATTATAGAGAATGCAAAAGATAATAGCAAAGAATTGTGGATTGTGTTTCAAGATATGAAAAAAGCTTTCGATTTAGTATCACTAAAAGTTTTACGAAAAGTGATGAAAAGAATCAAGCTGCCTAGAATAACAATTAGACTTATACTTAATCTTTTTGAAAATAGAC